CAGACTCGTCTTTAGAAAACAAGACAACCGTGAAACTATTTGTGCAACACAGCAGATGACGAGACACTCTGGCATCGTTTGAGGAAAATATAGATTTAATTAAATAATCTCAGCTTCTGGTTCCTCTGGTTTGTAGTTTCGGTCCATTAAGGAGTTAAACAAACTTCCTTCTGATTAAAATGTGGAAGATCTTCCTTGTTTTCTGTGGCCATGCAGTGTTGTCGACATTAATGAATATAAAATTCATCTGTAATTTAATGTTCCTTATGAATTAAAATAAAAATTATTTTCTTTATGTTTATTGTAATTTTATTTACATGTAAACTTTATAGTATTGGGAAAATGCATCTCCCTCATTTTTGTACATGGTTCTGATGAAATAAAGTAAAAGAAAAACAAAGTAAAGTCAAATCAAATGGTGTAAAGTAGTGAGAAATGATGGAAAGTAAGACAGTGTAAAGTTAGGTCAAGTGAACTGCTGTAAAATAAAGCTGTGTAATGTTTGTGTAAAAAGGTATAAAGTATGGAGGCATTACATTGTGTACAGTAAAAAAGGGGTGTAACGTGTGGTAAAATTGTGTAAAGTTTAAAAGCAGTGTAATGTAAGGTAATGTAAAGTGGTGTAAAGTTGTGTAAATTTTTTTTTAAAGCTGTGTACTGTAAGATAACATAAAGTAAGGTTTGAAGTAAGGTATAGTAGTGTAAAGTAAAATAAAGCAGGGTAAAGTATGCAAAGTTGCGTGAAGGGTGTAAAATTGTGTAGTGTAAGCAGGTGTAAAGTGAATTATTCTGAAGTGATGTAAAGTAAAATAAAGCTGTGTAATGTTAGTGTAAAAAGGTGTAAAGTATAGAGGTATTACATGGTGTAAAGTAAATAAGGGTTGCAATGTGTGGTAAAATTGTGTAAAGTTAAAAAAGCAGTGTAATGTAAGGTAATGTAAAGTGGTGTAAAGAGTAGTGTAAAGTAAATATGAAGCAATGTAAAGTGATGTAAAGTTTTTTTAAAGCTGTGTACTGTAAGATAATGTAAAGTAAGGTTTGAAGTAAGGTGTATAGTAGTGTAAAGTAAAATAAAGCAGTGTAAAGTGATGCCAAGTTGCGTAAAGGGTGTAAAATTGTGTAGTGTGAGCAGGTGTAAAGCAAATGACTGTGAAGTGATGTAAAGTAAAGTTAAAGCTGTAAAAAAGTTTGTTCCAAGTGATATAAATTTGTGTAAAGCGGTGTAAAATGGTACAGAATGATAAATGGGGTGAAGGTAAAATCAAGGGGTGTAAATGTAAAGTAGCTTAAAGTGATGTAAAGTAATAGGAGATGAAAAAGGTGTATAGTGAAGTAAAGTATCGTGGTATAAAATGGTGTAAAGTACATTAAAGTATTAAAAGTTTCTTGGGGGGGCTGGGCTGCTGCCCTCAGCAAGGATTGTCACAAAAGCGCACAAGAGATTTAGCAAGAAATTTATCTGGATGCCCTCCCTGGGGATTTAAACCTGCAACCTCAGGACCACAAGACTGCAGCACAGACCACCAAGCTACCGTGGCCCGCAGTGGTGTAAAGTATTTCCCACGTCAGTATTTTACAGGAAGTCAGTTTACCAAAGCTGGCTTCCAGAGATCATCCAAAAGCTCAATATTTAAATGAATACTTTTGACCTAAAATTGTGTTTGAAATGATGTAATTGTACAGTTTTGTGTTTTCAACAGTTTTCATGAAAACCGTCACTGTAAACGCTCTCCTTTGAGTCTGTTGCTCTTATTCTGACACGCATTGATTCCTATCGGAGAAATACACATTAAAAGTTGTCGCGCACGTACACGACCAACCGCTTTCTTCTACACGGATCCAGAATCAGACACCGTCAGGTGCCTGCTGTGGCTGCGGATGGGACAGGTGTACGGGTCCAGGATGGGTCCTGGTTGCTCAACCCCTCTAAAACCACGATGAGCAGCGTGTGTTCCTGGCCACGCTTCAACACTCACGCTGCTTTCCCAACAGCCGTGGTGTTCTGGATAAACTGTTTTTTTTTTTGCTCTTTGTTATGATTTGTTGTTAATTGGTGACACATTTCAACCTGAGACGTGAGAAATGAGCCAGAAAGATTTACGTCAAGAGTTTTGTGCAACTCTTTCCAATCGATTTTCCAAATGCCTTTTTAATGCATTTTTTTTGCACCAGTTTTGTCCCATTTACACATAACTTTACAGCACTGTGTGAAAAGTTGTCAGACAACATTAACTAAATCAATCAGTCTCTTTAGGCCCCAGAAAACCAACACTTGAGTCATTAACTTGTCAGCGGAGATGACAGAGCTGCTAATTTATCTGCGTCCACCAGGTTATTACCTTCACCCGCACACAGCACCGAGAGCGGCACATTACACAGCGGAGCGAAGGGCATCTGAGGTGTGCATCTCACGGAGACATCATACGACAATAGTAGCCGGTGATAAGGGAGCGTGTAATCTGTGTAACGACACCACAGCAGCAGGTGAGAGAAGCAGCAGTGAAATGACACGAGAACAAAACGTTCCATTAATAAAACACGACTGTAATAAAACAGTTAACATTCCTCCAGAGGCCTTGAGTGTGTCTGCTGCTGAACCTTACAGGGGTGCTCCACCTCCTGCTGTGGGTCTGACCCATTTTCTGTTGTTTTTTAGGATATGATGTGATGTTCTGCACAAAACCTTTCACCACGACGGATAAGGAGTTATTACTAATGATCAACCTCATTGATACTACACTAAAAGGCAATGTTTTGACCAATAACTGGCTGGGAGTCTTGTTGTGATCACGGAGGAGGTCAACAGTTTGTGTTTATGTTTGCAGCCGAAGTCAGAGTTTTTTTTTGTTTCTGTTTAAAAATGTAATCTGAATTTAAAATGTATTCACACACGCTGCTAAATGTTCTCAATAAAGTCTCTGATTTCTCTCGCCATGTGTCAGAAGAGCCTGAATTTCTGCTCCTGTATCTGAAGCGACTGTTTCGTATGAAAAACCTGCTCCAGTCAGTTTAAAAGCTTTAAATTTAAAGGTTAGCAAACGCCAAAACACAAAGAAATCAACTTTTTTTGTCCCATCCGACAGATTTATGAGCACAATTAAACACATCGACTTCAACAAGTTTACATTAGTTTAGAAGAGAGAACTAATAAATATTTTAAAGAGATCAAATTTAAGCCCAGAAAATCAAAACTATGAAAGCAAAATAAACACTAAAATAGTAATAAAATGCACAAATGTGCAAAAACATTTTGTATTTACTAATTAGGCACTAATTAACAATAATTTTGTTTTTAATTGCACAAAAATCTATTAGAGTTTCCCTTTATTGTCATTTTTCCATCTTTCTGGTCTGATTTCACAACTGTGGTCCGTGTGTCCCATTTTTACCGAGTTAAGGAGGAATTGGATTAAACTGATCATTTCATGAGCTGCAGCCTAGTATGATTTTTAACAGTTTATTAGTAAATGAATGTCTGGATGATTTTCTTGACAAGCTCTCAGGAGGTAATGTAGGTCTTAACCTAGTTTCCATCACCTCTGATCCTTTAAATTAGTTATTTTATCATGTTTTTGTCATTTAATTTTAAAATTCCACACCCTGTGGCACTAAAATGAGGTGTTTTATTTACTTTATATTCTGTTTATTTGTTACCATTTAATGTTTTATTTCACCTGTCACCAAAACTCCATTTAAAGATGAAAACATTAAACTCTGTGGGTTACGGTTCAGGATCATTCACTTATAAAACATTAAATCACATCTTTTGAGAATTTTCCCAGCATTAAAAATTCAATCTTTGAGCCTTCAACACGTTCAGTCCGCTTGTTTCATTCCAGCTTCAACTGAACTGTAAAATACTTTAGAGGCTTTCTGCACCTGAATATCTACCTGAAGGAAACAAATAGCCACAGGTAATTCTACATTTATTCACAGTTTCTTTTTTCACTAACTGAATATTTGGATGCAAAGTTGAAAAAGCAGTTAAACCATGATCTTTATTAGCCTCGAATTGCTCTTATCATCAATGATTAGTGGATGATTTGGCTCCTTTAAAACATCATGCATATTTAAAACCCATCTACAACATTTTTGTGTAATATATATATATATATATATATATATATATATATATATATATATATATATATATATATATATATATATACCAGTACTGTGTTGATTTACAGTTTAAAAACACAGCACCATGTTCTAAATGTGCCTCTTTACTAAAATAAATGATTTAATTTGAATAAATAATTGGTCCTCATGTTATAGGGGGAATATAAGAAAAGTTAGTCTTTTAAATTGACAGTGACACTTTTGAAGTATTAACTTTTTTTTATTTGACGTGTCAGATGAATTAAAATTAGAAATAAAATCCTACTTTAGGAAAAATGGGAATACTGCAGATTAAATCTTAGTAAAGTGATAATAATTGCCTTAAATGAATTAGGTGAACAAATTCACACCTAGAGTGTTTTATTAGGCCATTAAATGTCATGTTAATTATTCTAAACTTATGCATTAAAGGATATTATTGAGAGTTTATGCCAGATTTGTTTAAAGTCCTTGGCGTCGTATCGGTGCTTATATGGACTAAAAGCAGCTCTGTGAATGTGTGCAGCTCGCCTTTCTTTAAAAACTTTATGGCCTACAACAGAGTCCGAAGTCCATGAAAGTTGTTCCGATAAGAGGAGCCAATAAAAGCAGCAGTGCAGCAGTGTAAACAGGTCTACCTCTGTGGATTTACATCAGCCGGCCCACTCATTACCATCTTTTATATCCCCCTGCTCAGAAAGCATCATGGCAAAAGTAGCTCCATCCTCCCCAACAGGGAAGTGAAGCAGCCTCTTGGAGCAGGTGTCGTAGCCAACAAGCTCTGCTCAGCTCTGGATCTGAACCCAGGAAAGGAACTTTATTTATTTTTTTACTTTTTTGTTGTTTCTGTTCATCCTCCTCCATCCTCCCCTTCCAGCAGGCTTTATGTTGTGTTTTTAATGTTCTCTAAAATGGTATCGAAACTCACGTCCCTGCAGCAGGAGCTCCTCAGCGCCCTGCTGGACTCAGGAGTCACCAGGGAGGTTCTGATCCAGGCCCTGGACGACATGGACCCGACCCCGCCGAGCTTCCACGGAGTCAAACTGGAGAGCCTGCCCATGTCGCCCGCCGCGCCTCCTCCTGCCTCTCAGGGCGGCAAGATGAACGGGGCGGACGGAGACTCCAAGCCCGTCTTCCACACGCTCACCAACGGACACAGCAAGGGCAAGATGTCCGGGGACGAGGGCTCCGAGGACGGGGACGACTACGACACGCCGCCGATCCTGAAGGAGCTCCAGTCGCTGAACACCGAGGAGGCCGCGGAGCAGAGGGCGGAGGTGGAGCGCATGCTGGCGTGAGTTCCCGACCTTTAAAAGTTGTTCAAAACGGAATAAAATTCACGTAACAAGTATATTAGAAGGGAAATACACGAGAGTTAAAATATCAAATGTTGAGTTATAGTAACTCGCGGTTGCTCTATATTTTACAGTAAAATAAAATAAAATGCGTTTAGCTAGCTAACGCTCTTGTTTGTTTACAGTTTTAAAATAACGCGCCTCGGTTTGGTTTTAACATTCTGGTTACTAATTATCCACATGGATTATTATTTCTTTACCTTTGCAAAATATCAGCTGAACTTACCTCTATTTATTATTAACTATACTCCACCTCTCAATGATTAAAAAAAAAAAAAAAAAAAGCCTACTGGAAATCTTCTTCTGGTCTTCTTCTACGCTTTTTGTCTTTATTATTCTTTTTTCTTCTACGATTTTAATATTTTTTTCTCTACTTAAAAAAATGTCGTAGAAGAAGAAAAAGAAATATTTCTTCTTCTTCTTCTACGACTAACTTCTTTTACCCTCTTCTGCTTCATGTCGTCGTCGTCTTCTTCTTATCATCATCGTCATTATTATTATTATTATTAATATTACTATTATTATTATTATTACTTTGCTATTAATTACCCAACTCTGCTTTTTTTCTTCCATATTTCGCTATTCGCGGCTCCTTCTACCTGTTCAACTAGGATTAACGAGACAAAAAAAAAATCAAAACTAACCCACGTGTAGTTAAGTTATTATTAAATTTATTCTATAAATCATCAACTGGAAGATACACAGCGGCGTGTGATTAGGCTGAAAGGAGATCTGGTTATTCATTGTCAAAAGTTATAAACTAACATCTCCCACTTAACCCGGTCGGCTTCATGCAGGCCTCGCATTCTCCAAAACAAACAGACTAAAGCAGATTTGCTACAATTACAGATGTCCGTGTGTCTGAGCTGCGTTTTACCTCTCCATTACTTTATTTTGGATTAAATCCGGCACTTTAAACAAGCTAAACATGCAGGTAAGAACATGTTGCATCTTAATATAAAGGTATACGTTTATTCAAAAAACAAATTCCTCTAATATTTATTTAAAATTATACAACAGGTGAGCTTAAATGATCCTCTGACCTTTATATTGTGAATTAATGTTGCGCACATGTTGGAAAAATGTCATTTTATTTGACGCTTTTATTAATCCCTGATAGGAAGATGAATTTTGAAACACAGATTTTACTGCTTTCAATTTACGCAACACCGTTATGTGCTGTTTCCAGGGTGAAACGGGTAGTCTGTGTTTCCCAACCTTCCCCGAATCCACTTGAACTAACCTTTGAAAATATTTACAGCCGGCTAAATGAGCTCCTGCAAAAAACAGGCTCATTGTCGGTGTCAATGCCTTCAAAGTCGAGGCCTGAAAAACAGGGAAGCGAAGGCGAAACAAACAGCTGTGATATTTTTAATTTCTGCCAATATGCAACTGTCAGAAAGGTTATTGTTTACATGGGGATTTTTTTTCTTGTTCATGCTGATTTAATGGAAATAAATCCTTTATTTTAAGAGCCATCTCTAATTTAATTTAAGTCTTGTTTTCTGCTCGTGTGTTTTAACCCAGAGAGGATCCGTGGCGAGCTGCTCGTATGATCAAAGGTTACATGCAGCAGCACAACATTCCCCAGCGGGAGGTGGTGGACATCACGGGGCTGAACCAGTCTCACCTCTCCCAGCACCTCAACAAAGGCACGCCCATGAAAACCCAGAAGCGAGCGGCTCTCTACACCTGGTATGTCAGGAAACAGCGGGAAATTCTCCGACGTAAGTTAATATTTGAGTTTCTCACAGCTCGGCCTAGCCCGCGCTGCTTTTATTTGGGTTCAAAACCTGCTACTGTATCAAGTTTTCTTATCACGGTTGACGACATTCACAGCAGAACAATGAAAATCATCATAATGTGTTTTTTTTCTTTCTTTTTTCTTTCTTCTTTTTCAGAATTCAACCAGGCAGCGCATGGTTCTTCCACCAGTATGTCTGACAAAGGCAGTCAGGATCCAGCGTTTTTCTACCCAGAGTTCAACTCGTCCAGTGCTGGTATGGGCCAACCCGATGAGGTCAGCAGCGAACCCCTCTGTAAGAAAATGAGACGTAACCGCTTCAAATGGGGGCCTGCGTCCCAGCAGATCCTCTACCACGCCTATGAACGTCAGAAGAATCCCAGCAAGGAGGAGAGGGAGACGCTGGTAGAGGAGTGCAACAGGTAAAACAAAAACAACAGCGAAAAGAGTCTTTAGCCGAACAGTCCTGACCTCCATATTTTTATTTGTTACCTGCAGAGCCGAGTGCCTCCAGAGAGGCGTCTCCCCCTCCAAAGCTCAGGGCCTCGGCTCTAATCTGGTCACCGAAGTGAGAGTTTATAACTGGTTCGCCAACCGGCGTAAAGAGGAAGCCTTCAGGCAGAAGTTGGCACAGGACGCCATTACAGTTCCGCCACACCTCCTCAACCCGCTGCTGTCGCACAGCTCACCGCACCATGCCCAAACCAGCGCTTCCCCTCCAAGTAAGACACCCGCTGCTTGTTTTTTTCCATCACGAGTCCCGGTTGAACGTGGGTTTGTTCTTTAGAGTGAAACTTGTGTCAGGAAAGGTTTCGAGGCAGAGTTGATGTGATCAGAGCGGCAGAGAGAGAGAGACCAGATGATCAATGAGCGTGAGTGAGTGAGCTGAGCAAATGCCATTGTTATTCTGATCTTTGAAAACACTCCGAGAACAATCCACATTGTACCTGCAATCTCCACTCCAAAGTCAGCATGGAGAGGCATGACACAAAGGGCAGCCATCCTGTGACAGGCCAGGGTCAGCCCAGGGTCAGGGATGGAGGGGTGTGATTGTGGGGGGGGATCAGGACACATCCACACCTTGACGTAATGTCGTCGTTTCCGTGATTTCTCCTCCCTTCTAGTTTGCTAATGAGAGGAGCTTAAACAGCGAGACACCGCGGGCTGTTGCTTTGACCTGATGTTTGCGTTCAGAGATACCAGGACTGACCGAGCCCTCCTGACAATAAAAACAAAACCGATAAGTCGTGCCATCACTCACCATCCATAAAAGTGGGATTTGAGCGACTCGCTCAGAGCCCATTGTTGTCCTCTCGTGTTCGAACACGGGGCCACCTTTGAAGGGAAAACAAATTGTTTGCCTTGACTTGCTCTTTTACCCTTGGATAAACTGGTCCCACTTGTAGATCGCCTGTTTGCTTTAGTTGTGTTTTTTTTTCCTTCTTCGTTGCTGCGGCTCAGAACACCTGACCAGGCATTGACCTCAGGTTGTGACGCTCCGGTGGGGTCAGTTTTTGGGGTTGCCCAGCAGAAGGGAAAGGTCGATGGGAAAATAAAATAAAAAAAATAGAAGAGGAGAAGAAGCCCTCAGCTGGCTGCTTACAAGATGTCCTGCTGGCGTCCTGCCGACAGCATCAGCTGTTTTTCAGCGTCAGCTCTGACCCCACAACAACATCCCAGCAGGACGTATCATTGCGTTGCCGGGGCACGGCCTGTATTATGCATGCTTAATGGACAATTAAAATCCTTTGCTTCTACATCTCCCGGGCCTTTGATAAGCAGCTCCTCCGAGTTCTGCTCTCTGTACTCCACCTCAGCGGGAGCTCCTATTGTCTGTGGTGCAGAGACTGTAACGTCGGTTCATTTATCTCTGCTGCGCCTCCTCCTCACCTTTATGGATGTCAGTATAGCTGCTGAATCTGGTGGCAGACTTGGAGCAGCAGGAGCTGTCCACTGGAGTATTGGCTCTTTTCTGGCCAGACAGGACTGATCACTGCTTCTTCAGCTTTAGAGGGAAAAAAAAGCCACTACCCCCCCCACACCACCTTTTTGCCCCCCGCTTTTAAACCGCCGCTTCACCTTCAGTCATACGTACGAGGTCACTGCAGGGTCATTTCAAGCAAACCTTCTGACTCGGGGAGTTTTTATTGATTCGGTTTTGCTTCATTGATCATTTGGTCTCAACTGGATGGACAGTCAAACATTGTGACGTGCATTTTTGGTGGTGAAGTTGGTTTTTTTTTTTTTACTTTGGCAACGGAAACAGATCGTACGGGCAGATTAGCTGGCACCTGTGCCCCCCGCCCCCGGTCTTATTAATCCATTAATAACGTCCACAGAGCTCTTGATATCATCTTATTTACATACCACACAGTCTAGTTATGTCCTTGTATTTATATCGAAATACATTTAAATTTCTACTTATAAACGTGTAAAGAGATCAAAAACAACCTCGGCGTTAGAGAACATGTCTTAAACATTCTCAGGTTTATATTAAATATTAAAAATATTAAACAAGAAATTAATCACAACTAATGTTATGGAGGTGATGTCTTCATTTAATGCATAACGATTTAACAAACACCTCCAAATTTACTGCAGGGACTCTGAGAAGGTTTGAAGCAGGAAAATTAAAATAAAGAGTTCAAAACCTTAAAGAGTCTTTTGCGCAGATATTAAATACAAAGTTTTTTTTTAATTTACTGATAAGAACTTTCACTCCATTTTCTATTTCCTTTTTGTTAGAACCTGCATGTTTACTCCTCGGTCACCTCTAAAATGATTTTTTTTTTAGTCCCAAAGGAAATTACAGCATAGGATATCTTCAAGTATTTATTTAGATCCTAGGAGTTTTTAAAAAAGCCCTTTTTATATTCCCAAAAAAACAAATGTGTGTCAATAATTTTCTTTTTTTTGTGTGATTTAACAATATTAATAGATGTGTTTTAGATAGAATAAAGGTAACACTTGTAAATGTTAGATCATATTATCATTAACCCATTTTTATTACATATAATTGTGTAAAATAATGTTTTTATTCTTTGCTTTATGGATCATTTTCGTGTAATTACTGAGCCGTTAAACCAAAAAAAAAACAACCTTGTGAACATTTCACAAAGCCCAGAAATTAAGAATATTTTATTAAAGCAACGTGCTGAAATGTTTCAAACCAACAAAGTTTTTTTATTTATCAATATGTAGTTTAAATATAATAGAGTTTATTGCCATTTATACAAGTTTAAAAATAGCTGGTATATTAAAATTTTTGTGCATATTAAGTCAAGCTGTTTAAAATATGAAGGTAAAAAATAAATAAATACGATGAAACATTAAGGGGTGTCCAATGGGGGCCAAAATTAAAACCTTTTACAAACTAAGCGCCAATTTCAGCAACTACATTAACTCAAGTTAGATATCCAACATCTTTTCATGGTTGCAGGTTCCTCAACAAAAGTTTAGTTGGTCTCATTTGATTTTCTCTGCTGTACTTTCAACATCATAATCAAAGATTACTGAAAAAAATCAAGTGATTAAAGTATTTTACATTTTACATATTGTCTTGGGGTCAGGTACGATGTCAACGAGGGCCACATTTGGCCCCGGGGCCTTGAGTTTGACACATGTGCATTAGAGTATTAGTAATAAGATGAATAAAATTGAAATAAAACAAATAAGACTATAAACAATAAAAGCTCAGGAACATCAGACATTGTATCTGTGCTGCTGTATTCATGCCCATCTGCTCACAACAGACTCAAGTTCAGGCTGCTACAACATTATATTATTTTTGTTTAGCGTATATCTTAGATTTCTGAAGATTAGACTTTTTTTTACTTTATATTTTTGCTATTTTGGGGTGTAACTGGGACCTTGAGTACACAATTTCATTCTACCTCATGTACCACATGTGATGTGAACGACAATAAAAAACCTTGAACCTTGATGACAACATCAAACATACACAGTATTATCCCATAAATTTGTAATCCTGTAAATAAACAGCATAATGTTTCTTTCTGGGCACGTTACAGCAGCGAGATGATGCGTTTGTTTTCATGCATCAGGAACAATCTCTAAGAAAAATAATGTTTCAGTCACTTTTCACATTTGACCATACTAAAGTAAAACCGTAGTAAAGGTGAACCCGTGCTGCGTGAGCAGAGCTGTAGAGTTGAAACCAGCTGACTCGGACGTTCCTGATTGGCTACAGTAATTTGTGCCGGTGTCCGTGGGCTGCAGAGCTCTCCGTCACCTCAGGCTAACCCTAGAACACAGATCCACAGTCAGAAAAGATGGCCGAGCTTTGCACTTTCTTCTGCCTCGTCCCACAAAGAGGGGACCGGATACGTCCTGCAGAGACCCAGGAGGTCCGTCTCATGCAGCAGCGCTACAATGGCCACTGCCTGGGGTTGGAGAGGCGGGCTCTGATTTTACACAGGTCACACGGGGAGCGTGGGCCTTTTAAACCTGCTCAAGTTCCTTGCTGCCACTCCCCTTGTGAGATTCTCGCCCTCCCCTTGCTCTCAAAGTGCACGCCTCAGTTTAAAAAAAAAAATTATCCTCCATTGAGCAATCGCACCAAAAGCAAAACTTTGGTTTTATGCAGCTATCAAAGCAAGATTGGAAACATCTCAGGAAGAAAACCAGCTCATTTCTGACTTTGGATGGTCGACGAGCTCATGATCCACGCTGGCTTCAGCTAGAATTCAAAGCTAAAGAAACAAAACTGCACTGAACAGCATCCTCCTCTCCTCGTGAGTCTTAAAAGAGGTCGCCCAGCTTCGAGATAACTGACTTTTTATGAGTCCTCCACTATTGTGTAGCAATGGGGGTCACGAGTCCAATGGAGTGCTTTATTGTTCTGCGGCGGTGTTTACAAGGCTCGGCGGGCTGTTGTGGGGTTGATAGTATGTCGCAGGAGACAATATGAAGTCTACTGGCTGTACAAAATGGAGGACAGGTACTTCAGATCATGAAATATGGCCCTGCGGCTTCTGCAGTATTCAAAGTGACAGTCAGACATGATCAGAACCATGCTTGTTGGAATCAGGTTTGCTTTCTTGCTGGTAGTTAAATGAAAATGTACAATACACAGGTTGTGTTTGTCTTTTAAATGAGAGGCAAAAAGCTCAGGTCACTCAGGTGGAAACATCGAGACTTTAAGCAAAACGTGACCAAAACTTTTAACAATTAAAAATTATAGTTTATACCTTCTGAAGAGGGGGTTCTGTGGAAAAGTTATGAACGTTGTTAGGATCATGAGTCATAACGAGCACAGACTGCAGAGTGCCAAATGTGAAGGTTCTGGTTTTTACTGTAATGGAGATTTGTGTCAAAATGAGCCCGTAAAGACACCACTGACTGATCCCAGTCAATAAAATAGGATTTTATCTTCTTAGTCTACACTTAAACCAAAGTTACTCTAACAAGTATATCTTCAGAAATGATCTTTTTAATTCAAATCCCTTTATTTGTTTATTTATTTTTACATTGACCATTTTTCTCTGTTAGCGTCTATAGTTCAGGGAAATCCCTTCATACAATGCTTGACGTCATTGTAAGGCTTGAGCATCCCCCCGTCCGTGCTGCTGTTGTTCGGCGTATTGTTTTGCCCTATTAGTGTTTAGCGTATTCTTAGTTTAGTGTATTTCTTAGATCCTTAGTACTGTTACAATTTATATTTTTGCTGTTGTTGGATGTAACTGGGACACTGTGTACACTATTTAATTCCACCTCATGTACCACATGTGGTGCGAATGACAATAAAGAAAACCTTGACTTGACTTTTAAACATAGGGCTGAACTCCCGATGACATCACCCACCCCCCACCCCCCACCCCCCACCTACAATAAAAATTGAGTGTTCAAGCGGGCAGCCCAATAAATAAAGCTAGTTTGTTGTTAGCCATGTGATAAATTGCCAAATGTCAACAAACTGTGTATCATTTTAAATAATTTTTTATTTACTTCAGTATATAACGCCAAGTCACAACAGTAGTCATCTCAGGGCACTGAACAGAAACATGTATATATATATAAAAATAATAATTTAACATTATTTATCTGAGGAGCAGACTGCTTTGAGTTTAACTCAATCACAGACTCTCATCTTGAGCAAGCACGAAGGCGACAGTGGAAAGGAAAAACTCCCTCATGGGGAACAAACCTTAAGCAGAACCAGATCAGGACAAGCGTCCATCTGCTTCAACCGGCTGGGTTTGAGAGGAACAGATACACAATGGCAGGTGCAGAATCACATTAAGATAGAAATAGTATCAAATGAAAACTTGTAACATTTAGTTTTAGGAAATTAGGTCAATTTGTCCTCTAGTAGTCTAAGCCTATAGCAGCATAACAAGCCAACCCTAACTATAGGATTTATCAAAAAGGAAAGTCTTGAGCCCAGTCTCAAAACTGGACAATGTGTCAGCCTCATGGACAGAAACTGGAAGTTGGTTCCACAAGAGAGGAGCCTGATAACTGAAAGATCTTCCTCCCATTCTGCTTTTGGAAACTCTAGGAACCTCGAGTAAGCCTGCAGTCTGAGAGCGAAGTGCTCTGTTAGGAAAATATGGAACAATAAGATCTCGAATATAAGATGGAGCTAGGTTGTTGAGAGCTTTGTAGGTTAGAAGTAAGATTTAAGAGCACATTATTAGTGTTTAGCGTGTATCTTAGATCTTTGAGCGTATTGTTTAGTGTTACTTTAGTGTATATCTTAGATCCTTGTATACTGTTTCTTTTTATACTTTATATTTTTGTTATTTTTGGGTTTAACTGGGACCTTCAGTGCACAATTTCATTCCTTCTTGTATCATGTGTGATGCAAATGAAGAACCTCAAACCTTGAATTTGACATAAAGAATTGAAAAACAATAACTAAATATAGAAAAATTCCTCAATGCGACTATTTCCACTGCACAGCTCACATTTAATGTCTTCTTGTTGTAAAAAGCTTTTTACACAATCTCAGTTTGGTGAAAAAGGGGTTCGACAAGCTAACAGTAGCCTGAACAGGACCACGTCCAAAATGGACCGCTGCCATCGTCGAACAACTGCAATCTCAAAAAACGATTAACAAATGATGAAAAGGCTATTTTATAAACCGTTACATTACCGTCAGTTTTGTTTTTCCTTGTTGTTTCTCAAAATATTCTCGTTTGCAACAGTGAACAGTTATTGATTTTGATTTTAAGCCAAATTAATCTGCTTGTTTTCAAACTGATCTAATTTAACTTGTTTTTGTTTATCTATTAACTCTTGAGTAAGATGGTTTGGCAGGATTTTCACAGAGAAACTTGCGTTTAAAATAAACTCAACCTGTAGATGAGCACATCCTGCTCCAATCAATGCCTCCCTCATTGCTCACCTTTCGTGTCGTTGCCTCTCCCTCTTTTATTTTTTTAATCTCCAAAACGGTTGTATATCAATACCTCCTGTCACGCAAGACCCACTTCGAGCCGTCACACCCGGGTCAGGGACGGAGGGCTCAGGGAAGATGAGAGATCTGAGTGCAAACAGACTCTGTCTCGGGATTGTCACCGAGGGAGGGGACGCGCTTTCTGTCCATGAGAGGCTGAGACCACAGGATAAGAATGTGTTTGACATCGCTTGTAATTGTGTAATGTTTACTTTGTTGGTATCAGAGGGGGGCCTGCATCAGCAAACAGGCATTTGATTGTCAGTGAGTGTGTGTGTGTGTGTGTGTGTGTGTGTGTGTGTGTGCATTCCTTTGAGACAACCTGTAGTCTAGACAAGGGATTAAATGATGGTAGTAGCTTTATTTTTATTACCACATTGTAAATTTGTGTTTAAAACTCACGATGCACGTTTCTGTTATTCATTAGTGGATTCATATTTATCACTGGCCACTGAAAGGTGAATGCGGGTGCTAATGTATTTGCATATATTTGTGTGTTTGTATATATGTGTGTGTGTGTGTTCGGATGATCGGATGATTAACGTTTGGAGTTAGCTTGATTCAAGATGGCTGCCACCGACTGGCCTTAACCCTCCTTAGTTGTAAAACATGGGTTGACACAAGAGCAGCAGGGGGGATAAAAACACAAAAAGTGGCTCTATTGACAAACTTTGGTGTGGTAGTAGCTGAGACTGGTCTCCAACACATATTCCAAGTTCTAACAGATCCTGCAAGATGTTTGTTTAAAGTTTAGAGGCGGCTTTGTCTGTTAGGAAAATATGTCGTGAACCCACGGACAGACTTGAACGAAACTTGAAATGATCCGTAACTATCTTCAAGTGATTAACTTTTAGAGCCATTTCAAGATGGCCGCTGCAGCCAAGTCAGCTTGGAAAGTACAAGAATGGCTACGATTTCGTCATTTATACAGATTTTGAGCTGAACTTTGGTGTTTCTGAGAGTTATTCAAAGCACACACTCCGGGTGCTACCTGTTGCGCAACCTTTCCTTTAAACTTTTGCATTAACTGTTGCTGTTCGTCTGTTAGCAAAATATCTTCCAGAAAGGGATTGTTCTTCCCTGATGGTCTAAAAATCCTCGAGATGTAATGTTTTTAAAAAGGCTGTCAGTGAGTCTGCAAGTTAAATGTTATGGTTGCCGAGATGTTTTCGGTTTAGTGGAAAACTCCTCCTGAGGCAACTTTTTATTGACACCCCCCCCCCCCCCCACGGTGATGTTCACGCTGACGTAATCAGGCTTGTCGTCAGCCATGTTTGTGTGCTGATCATAGAGGCTGATGGGAGTTGTGCTGTTGTGAGCACACAGTGTCTGGCCTTGGCTGAGCTGCATAGATAGCAGCAGTGGACAGGTCAGCGTGTTTGTTTGCTCTCTTTTACCTCGCTTGAGTCAAAGAGCAGGCGAGTCTGATTGGTTGGAGGTGACAGCCTGACTCTGGATCTGTGAGCCAGTAGACTAACCGGCCATCTGCATTTCCTTTTCAGTGCGTTACAGCCAAGGGGAGGTCAGCTCCTCCAGCGCCATCAGTCACCACAGCAGCAACGCCATGGCGACCAGCCAGTCGGTGCTCCAGCAGGTGTCTCCGGGAGGACTGGACCACAGCCACAGTCTGCTGTCGCCCGACGCCAAGATGGTGAGTGAATGCTTCTGGGACTCAGTGGCCCCAGATTAGATAAGTTCCTGAACCTCCTCTCTGCCGGAGCAGTTCAGTCAGAGAGGTGGAGCTGCACAAGAAGCGTGCAGCAGTCATTTATACCACTCTATCAGTTAACCTGACAATGGGACATGACACAATGCCACAACGCCACACAAAGAGGAGGTGGAGGAGGAAAAATTATGCCAATGTTTGATCTGTACTTTTGTATTTGTTGTACTTCTATTTCATCAGTGATTAAAAATCATCTGAGTTGTTGAGCATGTGCAATTACCAAATTGACTATGTTTTAAACTATCCGAAATGCTGTTCAGTGTCCGATCTCAAACTGGTTTCAGAACGTGAAAGCAAAAAGGACGTGACTTCTAGGTCCTTTTGTATTGGACAGATTTTATAAAATTCTCAGAAGGAAATCACAAACATGCATTTCAATTCAAAAAGTGCCGTCACAGCTAATCAACAAAAAATTACTTTAGTTGTGACAGTTTTACAGACATTGAGCTAACACATACTCTGATCACTAACAAATCCCACAGAATCTTTAGTTAAAAGTTTGACATGCAGTGCGCTTCTTCAAGAAGTATCTGTTTTATTTTTTAGCCCAACAGTCTTCATTAAGAAGCTTAAAACGCTAATGTCCGCCTTTATGCAGACGATACTGTGATGTACTCTGTTGCATCCACACCTTGTGAGGCACTTTGTTTTTAGTTCCATCTATTTCTTTAAATAGTAGTTTATCTTATAATAGACTGTTCAGCTTATATTGTTGCTCTGGTAAAGAGTTTAGGTATCACTGAGGGAATTTAAACAGATTTTAAATTGTTAGTTTACTGTACTTGTCGCCGTACACGTTGCACCGCCGTATAAGTCGCATCAGTCCAAACATGTCTAATAAAGTGGGGAAAAACATAAATAAGTCGCTTTGTCGTATAAGTCGCATCTATTATGCGTCACCACTGACGACCCAGAAACGTGGGCCGGTGTTGTGCCAAAAATTGATTGGCTACCAAAAGGCGGGCACGGGAGCGTGCACGGGAGGACTTTAACAAGAATTTAACAAGATTAACACTTAAAAATTATTATTTGTTTGCTTGAAATTATAGTAAGGTGTGGCTCAGTTGAATTTTTCCTTAATAAATGCACTTTAATGGTCAAATCAGCAGCATTTTGCCTGGGCGTCGCGGCGAAATGAAGCTGATTTGACGTTTGCTCCAGGAGTTCTGGAGTGAGACGAAGGTGGCTTGGTATGGCAAGCCAAGTGTCTCATTAATAGCCACTTTTAATGAGACACTTGGCTTGCCATATTACTCGAGGGCCCTCTAGTGGATAAAAATGGTAGTGTTCAATAGGACTGTCGCAATAAACAAATCAATTAATCAATTAATCGCATGATAAATTAAAATTATTGATCTCATTTTCATTTATCGGCTTTATCGTTTCATCGTGACTCTCTTTTGACTACTAAGCTGAGAAGCTACGCTACGAGCTAAGCTAACAGGCCAACCTCGGGGGAAAAACCTCCGTCTTGTCGAAGCTCCAAAATTCACGGTTGAAACCCGTGCCTTCGTGTAAAAAGTTGTTTTTCTCTGCAAAAAGAAGCTGAGAACTTGTTTACTGATTTTTTTAATTAAAAGCTTTGTGTGAAAAATGCTATGCTAAAGAGCTCAAACCACACCGAGCATCCACCATTTTGAGAACCAAAGAGAGACATCCCATGTCACGTCAAGGGGCCTCCCTCCCATTTTTCTTAAAGAGACACGCTGCTCGCTCCCTCATTATCCATCCTTCAGTTCAAACAGTCTTATATTGCCATCAGTCTTATATTGCCATCTGATTGAAAAAGGTACTACATGCAAAACAATTAAACATTTCCTCTTAAATTTGGCAATAATTACTAAGTATTGTCAAATCTCAAACAATATTATCATTTATCGCAATAATTTCAGAAACAATTAATTGCCCAGCAAAATTTATTATCATGACAGGCCTAGTGTTCAATATTTTCCATGTCAGAATGAAAGAAATCATCAGATCTCAGCCGAAAATTGGGTTATAAATATGGGGGAAAAATTAATATTAGTTGCTTTGGTGTATAAATCGTAGGACTTACAAATTTATGTTAAAAGGTGCGACGTATGGCGAAAAATACGGTAATAGTGATGTTCTTTTATTTTCTATTTGATGGCTGCTGAAAAGACTCACTGAGTAATTTTAGGTTGACTCCTTTTGGTTTGCAACATTTTTGTTTTTTAATGACTGTGTTGAACTCTGTAAACCTTTTTTTCTGTTTATTGTGCATTATTGCTGTTTTAGCAGCCAGTCTTAGCCAGGATAGTCACATAAAAGAGAGTTTAAATTTTGAGATTCTGCTTTTCCTGGTTAAGTAAAGACAAAGAAGTAAGAATAAATTGTCTACATTAATATTAGTTTGTTGATAACTAATGTTCAAACTGTTCTAACATCCCTGTCAGGACACTTCCCTCTTTTGGTGTGATAATATGTGAACTGGTGGTGGGCTGCGCAGGTCAGATATCATGGATATTTGTCTGCAGGTCGTCAGGAAGTGAGCTGTATTCAAATCAACTCCATCCCACCAAGGGGAGGATTCTGATACTGTAGCTGTTACTGTAAATGCACTGACGCCATTTTAATCATTTTCTGCAGAAACACACACACAGACTCCTTTTCGTCGGCTTGTGTGCGTTTCTTTTTCTTTCCATTTTTCTTTCTTTGCGGTACGACACGAGTTACACAAGAGCAGCGTTGTTCAAAAGAATCTGAACTGAGTCAACATCGTGCCTGCTGTTTGTTTAGCAGCAACATCTGTTTCACTTTGAACATGAATTTACATAGGAGGTGCTCAGGCTTAGTGCTATATTCAGCTAAAAACAAATAATAGAGCAATAAAATGGCCGTGTAATTTCATTTCCCGCTTTTGTCTTCAGATTTCAGGTTCAGGTGGGGGACTTCCTCCAGTCAGCACGTTGACAAACATCCACAGTTCCCATCACAGCCACCAGCAGACACAGAACCTCATCATGCCTCTGTCTGGAGTCATGGCCATAGCACAGAGTAAGTCCCCCCCCACGCACACACCTTCCATGTGACCAAACTTTTTAATTTTACTCTGCACTGACTAACTGCTGGCTCACTCTGTCTTATCAGGTTTAAACACATCACAGTCTCAGACAGTGCCGGTGATCAACAGTGTGGCTGGCAGCCTTGCAGCGCTCCAGCCGGTGCAGTTCTCCCAACAGCTCCACAGCCCCCACCAGTCGAGCCTGATGCATCATTCGCCCAGCCACATGAGCCAGCAGCCATTCATGGCGACAGTCACACACTCGCACAGTCAGTAACTCATACGCCTCATTAAGTGGATGTTTTATATGTTTTCAACAATGGATCCTAACCTCAATGGTTTGTGGTAATTAGAGCAACTTATACTTGATGGCAAATAGTTTGTTCTCAAGACAAAGTATTATATATATCTTATTCATAATTCACAATCTAATAATCATTGGGTGTACCTCTACAAATGATTAACTTTTGGACTCATCTGGATTCAAGATGGACACTACAACTAATTGACCCCAGAAGATACAAAAATAACTTAGTCATACAGAAACTGAGCTAAAGTTTGGTGGCGTTATAGCTGAAAGTCATCCTAGACACACTCCAATCCAAGAGTCGCTAATCCTGGTCCTCGAGGGCCACTGTCCTGCATGTTTTAGAGCAGGGCGGTTCAACTAAATTGCTCAGGAGGCCACAGTTACTGAAAGCCAAGAGCTCAGGGGCCAGACATCCAGCAGTTAGAATCAGAATAAGCTTTATTATCATTTTGCCGGGATACAATGAGATTATGTTCATACAGTCGTCCGAAAGATGGAAGTGCACTTTGCTGCTGCTACAAGAGCGGGGGATGATAGACAAAGATTTTCCCTTAGTTTACCCATGTCCCAGGAGAAATTTGATAGTTTGACCCGCATCCAAGGCCAAACGGGGGAGTCAGATTCAGAAATGCCACAATTGTTGATTTTCTTCAGGCAGACTGTTTTTTCTTGTCAGCCTTGAGTCCTGCTGGTACTTTCGATCCAAAATGGCCAGATTTATGGGCAATCTACTGATCCATACTATAAGCCTTCTTCAAGGTCAACTCCAACATGCTGACGAGTTCCAAAGCCGTGGGTGGCCTGCGATTCTCACAAATCGCTTCCATTATATGGTTTAGCTCATAAATCAGCTGATTTTGAGTCCTCGTAGCATGAACAAACCTTCACACAGACTTGGCAGTTTGTCATGGCCGCAACTGATGCCAATGTCTTCTCCAACAGTCACAGCTCAATGAGATTCTACCTTTTAACATATGTTGTGCGATCTTTGTTTGAAACTTTGACCTGTAATGTGACCTTCCTTCAAGAGAAATTAGTTTGATTTTTATAGAGTTTACTGTTAGCCCTTAACTCTGAACGTTTCCAGCTACATTCAGACTGTTTTCATCTCAAGGAGTTTGGTTCTTATAACTTGAAATTAAAGCCTAAATTGGGTGGAAAGATGGAGCAGTGGGTAGAGCTGCTGCCTCACCGCAAGAAGGTTGCAGGTTCTAACGCTGGTTGAGACCTTTCTGTGTGCCTCGAAGTGTCAACATAGTACAACCACACCAAAGTTGTTCTCTTCCATCTTCTCTCGTCTAGATGCCTTATAAACCTTCTTAACCGTTTAAGATTGTGAGTCCTGGATGGTTGAGAATCTACACCAATGTATCTCTGTGTGGAGTTACATGTTCTTCCCATGCATGTTTGGGCTTTCTCTGGGTACTCCAGTTTCCTCCCACAGACCAAAAAACATGCATGTTAAGTAAATTAGTAACTCTAAATTGTCCCTAACTGTGGGTGGGACTTCCATCCATCCATCCATCCATTTTCTTTACCCGCTTATTCTATTTTGGGTCACGGGGGTCGCTGGTGCCCAGGTCCAGCAATCACTGTGCGAGGGGCGGGGTACACCCTGGACGGGTCGCAAGTCCATCACAGGGACACATAGAGACAAACGAGACAAACAACCATTCACTCTCTCACTCACACCTAGGGACAATTTAGAGTCACCAATCAGCCTAACATGCATGTTTTTGGTCTGTGGGAGGAAACCGGAGTACCCGGAGAAAACCCACGCATGCACGGAGAGAACATGCAAACTCCACCCAGAAAGGCCCCTGGACCGGGGTTTGAACCAAGGACCTGCTCGCTGAGAGGCAGCAGCTCTACCGGTTGCGCCACCATGCTGCCCGTGGGTGGGACTTAATTTTATAAAAATTAAAACATTGAACTTTACAGGCTGATGTGAGTTCTCTTAATTGTATTAAATGTCCTACTTTAAGCATAAAGTTAAAGACAGTATCAAATTAGGCTAGTTTGTTGAATATCCAATTACATTTTTAAAGAAAACTAAATACTTTTCTTTACTTTGACTTTGTTTTTTTGTGTTTTATTCTTAGTGTCATTAAATATTCTTTCTCAGCAACTTGTCTTAAAGATATTCCAAAACATTCTGGTGGTTTTGAGATAAAGATCACGCTGCGAGACTGGAAGTTGACTTAAAGTGGCTAACAAACTGCTAGCATGATGTAGCCCACATCATGTTTTACACCTTGTATTTGTACTATCCTTCACATATTTGAAAATGACAGGGCATCTGCTAAAACTAGCCATTTTCATTGTTGGCAATAATTTAAATGAAATTCAGTTTTATTTTAGTTTTGGTCAAAGCCTGAAAGAGCAGGGGTACCTAAGAGCCACATGTGGCCCCAGAACCGCAGCTTGCAGACCCCTGTCCTACACTAACCCTGAGCACTGACTGATTGTTTGTATTTGGTTTGACATGAGCTACCCATAAAAGTCATTTTACCTTCTTGTACTGTTTTTTAATAGAATCACACTTCCTGTCTTCCTTTGCAGTGTATTCCCACAAACAGGAGCCCCCTCAATATTCCCACCCGTCACGCTTCCCTCCAACCATGGTGGTCACAGACGCTAACAGCCTCAGCACTCTAAGCTCCATGTCCTCCGGCAAGACGGTGAGTTTGCGCCCCACGTCACGACTCATCTCATAAACTTTCCTCTTTTTTTAAATTTCCACCTGCGGTTGTAGATTATAGTCCAGGTACTGTTCGCTTGAGAATCATCTCCCGGAACGGTTTTAATTTGCTCAATCGTTTCCTACTGATAGATAAACACACACTAACAGTGAGAGCCATGCCAGGAGAAGAGTGTGTGTTGTGATTGTCTGCTGACCTGTCTGATTCTTTGTCATGTTAGGATGCTCCTGTAAACAAGGTGGTGCAAGTTGGGGGTTTCTCCTTGGTAAATACAACTTTATTAGTTCTGTCTCACAGCTTCTTTGAGTAAAATCGCAGAAACCAATCACTGAACTCAGCCGCAGCCGTGCACGCTAATCCTTTGACTTCTTGTCGCGACTGAACACTTTGAGACAAACGGATCAGATGGACGTTCGGATAGGACACTCCTCACGATTCCTATGTGTCTAACCCAGCTGTCTAATCAATCACAGGTTCCCTCGACCTGAACACCTCTTGATTATCGTTCCCTTTTTTCACTTTCATCTTGCTGGTGAGAGTCTCCTCTGCGATCAGGAAATGAGACCTGTTAATCAAGGTTTCCAACCTGTAAGCTGCTACTTTCCTTCATGCTACAGTGAGGGTGCAAATGAGACGAGTCGGCCGGAGGTGGAAGTTGTTGTTGGTTTTTTTCTTCGTCCTTTAGTAATTACGGCTCTTCCTCTTTTTCTACTTCTCCCTCCTCTCCGTGATCGCTCTAGCCTGAAATGTTGTCCACGGTGCTTTCACATGCTCAATTTCCCACGCTGAGGCAGAGTGCCGCCCCACGGATGGGCTGATGGGATGGCAGCTGAGAGCAGCGTGTGACCGCATGTCTGAAAATTCATAAAATATTCAGAACAGCTAAAGTTACTGTATGCATAGAAATAAAGCAGCACCTGGTGGTGGATGAACTTAAATGAGCTAAAAGAACCATAAAACACAGTAAAGTGCATTTTAAAAGCCTCAGAATTAAAATACAATATCTGATTTGTGTGCCCAAGTATTTTAAGTTTACTCAAATCTTTACTTTTGTTAAATAAATGTAAACACTTCCTATTTTGAGAATTTTTATAATCTTTGAAGGAAGAATCCATACAGAAAATAAACAAGCTCCTGATTTTTTATCCTCAAAATAAAGAGACATAAGCTCAGAAAATTTTAATCTATTTAATTATTATTTTTTTTAATTGTGATATAAAATGGCAATTTTGCTAGTATTAATTGGCAAAACTGTCTTAATATAGACATAAAGTATATAGTATCACATTCATTCATGATTTCAGTCAGACTTTGTGAAGGCTCTTGTCCAAAACTTGGACATAGTTGATTTAAAACAAACAAACAAAAAATATATATATATTTTTTTAATTTCATTGCATGTATTGAATTATTTTGCATAAACAAAAATATTTAAATTTAAATTCTACCACAGTGTACAGTATTAGCTAAACATATCCTTCATTTTTTGGGGTAAAACATTAGCCTGACAAGCAACTACCATATTTTTTGGACTATAAGGCACATTAAGCTAAACAGTCTGATAAGTCAAACTTTATTCAACTCATTCACAGTAACTCTCAACATTGTTCAGTTGTAACACATAAAATACAAAACAATACACACAATACACATTTTTGAGCACCGTGTACCACATTAAATTGGTTCGAGGTAAGTAAGCACAACCAGAGTTAATACATAAGGCGCACCTTATCATAAGGCTCACTGTTGATTTGTGAGAAAATTAAAGGATTTTAAGTGTGCCTTATAGTCCGAAAAATACAGTACTCTAAAAAAACATAGCATAAATAACAAACCATAAATAAAGCATGCAACTCTGAGTCCTGGTTGGACTCCAGCATTTCACAAACTCTCTTATTTATTTAGCATTTATCTGAATAGCCAAGTTTTTTCTTATCAGCATGTCATTTAAAAGAGGGGGCAGCCTCGTTCTCATGAAACAACCAACATGCTCAGGCTTTATAATGCTGGCTGTTTACCCAGAGCCCTCCATTATACCTGCGTCTGTTTGCCGCTCCCCTCTGCTCAGACTGCGGCGTCTAATGACTCAGGTCTTGGCTGCAGGTCAGCGTTATCAGGTGAGGCTGTTTGCCGGCCGCTGGGTCACTACGGGGTCAGCTGTCTCCACGGAGAGAGGCAGGTGAAAAATAAATCTGCCACCCCCACAAACAGTCCCTGAAGAAGAGAGTGGAAATGAGCTTTTCAGAGGCAGGAGAAGAGGAATGAGAAGGTGTTTGGTCAGGTGTGGCGCACGACGGGGAGAAGACAGAACTCCTGCATTCTTGTTTTTAACCTAAGAAGAGAAATATCAACATGAAAAGATTAAAGCCAAGAAATTCTAAGTACGTTTAGCTGCTTGTTTAACATCCACCAGTTCACTTCAATTAAGATGTAATATTGAAGGAATCTAACACATTCTTACATCAAGACACATTCCATTTTCAGCAATTTACTTTCAGTTTCACATCCCAGTAAATCACTGAAGAGGAAGTGCTTTCCACGTTTTTATACATCAAGTACAACATCTGTTTGGTAGTCTTTCTTTACAGTCACTAACAACAATCTGAACATAAATGTTGCTTCAACACTGAACATAAAAACCAATAGGGGAATCCCATCTGAACACGTAACTTGAAAAAGTTCACGCATTCATATCCCAAGACTACCCAGCGTGCTTGCGGCTCACGCAGCGTCTTGCGTTCAAGTATAGCGTGCAATTTCAATAATTCAGACTGGAATTTAACAGCAACCACCAGAACTTACAGTTTGTAAGTACATGTACATTTATATCATGCAGTGAAAACAAAATACAACTTTAATATTGAAAATGATCAGTGTATCAATTAGATATCATTTACTCAAGGTTCTGGATGATGTGGAGCTGTCGTGGTTGACACGCCTTTGCAACGTTTTGTGGACATCGGGGTTCGTGCCACTGGAATTGTAGACTGGGGTGGTGGTTCCCCACTTCAAAAAGGGGAATCAGAGGGTGTGTTCCTGTTATAGTGGTATCACTCCTTAGCCTCCCCGGTAAGTTCTCCTCAGTGGTACTGGAGACGTAAGTCCAATTGAGGGTCGAACCTCGAATTCAGGAGGAACAATATGGCTTCTGTCCTGGCCGTGGAACGCTGGACCAGCTCTTTACCCTCACTAGGATCCTCGAGGAGTTATGGAAGTTTGCCAATCAGTCTACTTGTGTTTTGTGGACTTGGAGAAGACCAATTACAAGACCTTGTTCCTCAAAGTACACTGGGGGTTGTGAGTATGGAATTGGAGGCCCATTGCTACAGCCCATTCAATCCTTATACAAGCTGTGCAAGAGTTTGGTTTGCATTGCCGACAGTAAGTCGGACCCATGGCTGCCTGTCGTCACAGATTCTGTTCATAACAGAATTTATCAGTGCAGCCAGGGGGCGGAGGGAGTCCAGTTTGGTGGCCTCAGAATTCCATCTCTGCTCTTTGCAGATGATGTGGTCCTGTTGGCGCCATCGTGCCGTGATCAACTCTCACTGGATCAGTTCTGTGAAGCAGCAGATTGTGAAGCAGCTGGGATGAAAATCAGCACCTCCAAGTCTGAGGTCATGGTCCTCAGTGAGAAAAAAAGATATATTACCCTTTGGGAGTGAAGTTCTGCCTGAAGTGGAGAAGTTCAAGTATCTCAGGGTTTTGTTCACCATTGAAGGGAGAACAGAGCGGGAGATTGACAGATTGATTGATGCCGCATTTACTGTATTGTAGATTCTGTTCTGATTCGTGGTGTTGAAGAGGGAGCTGAGCTGCAAGGCAAAGCTCTCCGTTTACCAGTTGAACTACGTTCCTACCCTCACTTATGGCCACAAAGTCTTAGTAGTGACTGAAATAATGATTTTGCTGATATAGGTGGTCAAAATGAGTTTTTTTTGCAGAGTAGCTGAACCCTCCCTTAGAGACAGTGAGAAGTTTAGTTATCAAGGAGAGACTCGGAATAGAGCCGCTGCTCCTCCACACCGAGAGGAACCAAATGAGGTGGTTTGGGCTTTTGGTAAGGATGCTCCTAGTTGCCTTCCTAGGGAGGTGCTCTGGGCATGTCCAACTGGGTAGACCTTTGGAAAGACCCAGGACACACTGGAGAGACTACGTCTCGCCTTGGGGTCATCCCAGTAAAGCTAGAAGAGATGGCTGGGTAAAGAAATGTCTGGACCTCCTGCTGCCGCCACCACCCGACTTGAGAACAAGTGGAAGATAATGGATGGATGGATGGATGGATGGATGGATGGATGGATGCAATTGAATGCATCACTGATTTTCACATGGTCAACAAACACGATCTGCAAGGCCTTCCTGAAGGCTCAGAGCCCACCCACTTTACATGAACACTGTGATTAGTTCATGTCCCTGTCAGTTATTAAACAAACTCATCCTGGAGAGGCTCAGACTCAGCTCTGCCTTCTCTCATGGCAGTGAAGTCTTAACCAATGACAAATAACCTTCAAAACATATTTAGAATCTGTTTGGATAACTGTGTTTTCATGAATTAAAAAGTTTCTTGCTCAACTGCAGAAAAAAATTTACAGAAAATTTGAGAAATTAGAACAAAATAAGAAAAACTACATTGAAAATATACATTTTAAATAAACTAAGTGGAACATTTCATATGTGCTGAATTTTTAGGCCTTCGCTGAAAGCCTAGAAGGCCTTGAAGGTTCCCCGTTGACGTTCCTGGATGTTGGTGGTAATTTCAGCCACAGCAGGTGGCCATTTGTAGCTTGACTAAAACAGCATACAACAGTAGACACTTACCATCAGTGGCTTGTGCAGACAGAGCTAACAGCTAAATGGATAAATGACCCACAAAGTTGTTTGTTCACTAAACAAAGCAGCAGTTTGCAGAAATCTGAGGAAGACAAGCTAAGTTGCTGTAATTAAGTAATGCTCTCATGTTCATGCAGATGCTGGTGCAGCTAAAAATGAACCACCACATGTTAGGTTGTGTTTGTTGCATTCAGTTGTCATGGAAACCGAGGCAACTTTTACCTGTCAAGCAGAAAAGCTGCATGCTCAGAATACAACCTGAGAATGATGCAGTCATTAAATCTCCCTCAAGAAAGCATCTCCATTCAGGGCTGGACCTTCAGCTTATTTTGGTGCTGGTTATTTCCAAGCACTGAGCAGTGAAGCTTTTAATTCTGTAAAATTGTGGTCAGAACCCCCAATCGTGAATCATGAAACACTGAACTTGGGTCTTGAGATGATCTTTAATGAAAAATAGTTTTTAAAAGTTAACGTTTTTACAATTACTGCTGCAAAAGCTAAAAACAATCATAAATGGATGGCAGTGGAACGCCAGTTGAAGCTGCTCGTTTATTTAGCTTTTTAGGCGTGTTTGCATAGGATTCAGGGTCACAAGTCTTTGCCGTTGGTATTTTTATGGGTCAGAAGCTAAAGTGTTTGAGAACCACTGATGACACATTCCCTTATAACAGAATTTACTGGTCAAAATCGGCCAAAACTGACTATTAAAATCCTAACGGCACATTTTATCACTCCTCTGCATCATTTTGGTTATACAGCAACTTTTAATAGAAAAACTTCAGCACAGACAGGAAATAATTTCCAAATGTTCTCCTCGGCTGACATTATCATGTGTCTTTATTCGCTCTGAGACTTGAGGGAAAGTTTGTTTCAGGAAGAACAAATGTGCTTCAAACAAGGTTACTATTGTAAAAGTATGTAAAGTTTTTTTAAAACATAAACTGTGATATTTTTCCTCCAAACCTAACAAACTAACTCGCCAAACGTTAAAAAGCTGCAACTTTAGCTGGAGTTAGAAATGTAAGAAGTTGCTACAATAATCCTAAAGCGTATAAACACGCTGTGAGTGACTTTTCTGTCTTTTTATTCTCCACCACCACTCAAACTGTCTGCAGACAATAACCTTTAATGCTTTTTAGCTTGTTCTCTCCAAATAATTTATCGCTGTGTTCACGTCTTATTTCTGCTGCCATCAAGTGGACAAGAAATAACTGCCGCAGTTTTAAGATATAAAATAAATGCTATCAACTGACCCAGTTCAGTAAATATTACAATTGGCTCTGCTGCTTTGTAATTAATCAATAAAAAGCTAACAGTGTGAATATTTCATAAGCATTCACACTGTTGTGATCCGTTTTTCGTCTGTACGTTTTTCAGCATCTTTCTCGTTCCACAATTTTTGTGCTATTTCAAGAAATCATAAATCAAAACGTTCAGCTGTTTCAGAACAATCCTGCTATGACTTTTGGTATTGGTGCAACTTTAGCTTTTTGAAATATTTAGCATTTTCTGCCTTTTTTTCCTTATATTAAATGAATGGATCTGATTTTACATCCTTCAAATCTTTAGATGAGTTTACAACCTTTTACTGCTCCTTTCACATTTTGTTTTCTTCATCTTCTTTCAGCTTCCTTGTACAAATTTAAACTTTTTTCAGCTTATTTCAGCTGTTTTGTGCTCCTTTCATATTCTTTCTGCTATCTACAACATTTTTGTTCTTCTAACTTCTTTCTGTTCATTTCAGCTTACGATGCTCCTTTCAGCTCATTTATGCAAGTTTCAGCCTTTTCTGTTATTTCAGCTTCTACTTAGCTGTTTTTATGCTAATTTTAGCTTTTTGGGCTAATTCCACATTTTTTGCATTCATTTCAACTTGTTTCAGTCTAATACAGCAAAAATGTGCTCTCTCCTTTTCCTTCTGGTAATTTAAGCTTATTTCTGCCTTTTTAGCTACTTTCCAGCTGTTTTAGCTAATTTCAGATTTTTTTCAGATAATTTCCTATTTTTTGTGCTCATTTCTGCTTCCTTAAGCCTAATTGGGCACAATCATGCTCTCTCCACTTCCTTGTGGTAGTTTAAGCTTATTTCTACCCTTTCAAGCTAATTTTCAGCCTTTTTGTGCTAATTTCAGCTTTATTAGCTAATTTACTAATTTTTGTGCTCATTTCTGCTTATTTAAACCAAATTCAGCAAATATGTGTTCTTTCTGCTTTCTTCTTCTAACTTAGGCTTGTTCCTCTATTTCTGCTACATTTCAGCTATTTTTAGCTTATTTCAGCTGTTTTTCAGCAAGTTCTTCAGCAATAAGCATTCACACTGCACTTTATTTCTCTAGTTTTAGTTACTTTTCTGGTTAAAATCATCAGGCCCAGTGATAATCAGTAAAATCATACCACTGTGTTTGTATTAAAGTTCAAAATTTAGCTTTGGATCTAAATTAAAAATAAATCAGTAATGTACAAGTGCAACAGAACCCAGTTCCACACCGACCAGAATAAAGTATCATTTATTTATGAACCTTCTGTTGTTAAAAAGCTGAGCATACTGAATCAGTCTTTCTTGTTTTGTGAGCTGCGTGTTTTCGTTTGACTCCTCTTTCCGTTTTCTTTTTCAGTGTCCTCTTCAAGCCTGGTGAGAGCGTCCACCCGACTTCCTCGCTGCCCGGCAACCCGAGCGCATTTTTCCTCCCTCTCGCTGCCGTAACCACGACGACCCTTAAAGACCCGCAGCCGCGTGCTGCAGACGACGGATCGGTCAGCAAACACGGAGGAGTGACGACGGCAGGCAAGGAGGTGGAGATGAGAAATGGGGACAGAGGAGGAAAGAGGAGGGAGGAGGAAATAAAAATCACCTGCGGCACAAAAATGATCAACGAGGACGTCTGATTCACAAACTTTGAAAACAGCCTTGAGTTGTTTCTGTTTTCACACGACAAAAGAACAAAAAGGCGCCGGGATGAACTGCTCGGACCTGAATAAAGGCTTCTGGGATTTACGGCGGAAATACGAAGACGCTAACAGAGACAGCGACTTGTAGGAGCGTCCTCCTCCTGGTGACAATCACATCAACTCTTATTTGATCTTGTACATGCATTACCGGGCTTTAAGCGAGTCTTCCATGTTATTCTTTCGTACTCGGTTTACTGCGAATGATGATATTTGGAGTTGTTCCGTGTGTACACTGTGATTGAAAAGACTTCGACAATCGTGAAAGGACTATGCAACACGTGTGAGCAATGCTTTGTATAACTGGATTCTGCACAAAAAACTCCACACACTCAAGGCTGGAAATAAATATGCACTATCAGCTGTTGTATACTGTTTGGTAAAAGCTGTAAAATAACACAAACGGAGTGAGGTATGAGCGACGGCCGTGCGGGGCCTTTGTTGGGAGCGGAGGACTGACTCACACTTTTCCCCCTCCGTGGAAACCTCTGACTGTTTGCACACAGGTCCAGGTGAATTTCAGGAATGGGACTCGCCCTGCCATTATCTCTCCCACTTCTTGCCTCAGTGTGAAATAGGACAAATATTGTTAATAACTCCTCAGCATAAATCACCCCCCCCCCCCACTCCATCCACCCCCCTGCGTAGTATGAAAACATTGACAAGTATTCAGAAACCAAACATGCATGAAAGAGGACAGTGTTGTGTCTAATCGGACAGGAATCCAGAGACGCTGATTTGGTCTCCAGACGCCCACGGGGACAGTATTAAGGTGTGTTCAGACAGCCGCTGTGACCCCCCCCCTACACACACACACACACACACACATGCACAACCAGAGCATGCAGACATGTTAGCATTTAGTTCTGATTCAGAGTTTGACAATCGTGGGGCCAAATCCATCACTGAACGTTACTCACTACACCCACCTACTGTCCAAGTTAAAAAGACTTTTGACTTGGGTCATGTTGAAAGGTTATAAGTAACTAATATCTTACCTGTTGTGGATAGCTCTGTAGGTTTGTGTACCAGGGATTAGTTCTGGCCAAACTGACGAGCTAACTGCTAATCCAGGACCAGAGGGGACTGCTGCCATCCTAAAACCTCTAATGCAGATGCTTTTTTTTTTTTTTTAATGACATCATCAGTTTCACATTACATGCAGGAAGTGCTACAGCTAGCTGCTCCTGCGCTTATTACTGGTTGTACAGTAGATCATGTAATTCTATATAATTAAACGTGTAATTCAAAATTGAATGTAAAGGTTTACAAATCAAAATGTTTAAGGTGGGAGTGGTGGCGCAGAGGTTAGAGAAGGTGTGTGATCGGAAGATCGTCGGTTCAACTCCCTGTACCGACAACATCAAAATGTGGGTGAGATAGGTGAAGCACCCACACCTGCCTCTGCTCTCATTTGCCTTACTCCTTGAGCAAACCCCCCACCATCTGCACCCCCTAAGTGCCCTACATAGCAGCTCTGCTCCACACAGAGGGCTGTGGCTGCATCAGGAAGGGCATCCGGCGTAAAAACAGTTGCCGAGTCTTCGGACGACTTAGTTCACTGTGGCGACCCCTGAAGAAGGGAGCAGCCGAAAGAAGAAAAAAAAAAAGGGTGAGGTTTTTTTAAATTATTATTATTTTTAGGATGTCAGTGATCCGCTTTTCTTTCTTGAGCTAACTTGGACTAGCCGTTAGCTTCTTAATTCATTCAAAATTAAAGTATTCAAACTGAGAGCCATCTACAACAGGTGAGACGTTAACTGTTCATAACCTTTCTTCATGCGAGCGCTGCTTTAAAACATCTGGACTACCACTTCAGCTGAGTTCCTCCCACACGGCGGGTAAAAGTGTGCAGCTGCAGCCTCCTGTTCAACATTAGGTCATTGTGTAGCTCTTATTTGTGACTTGTCGTCACGCCTGCTGCCGTCTGATCAGAGGGCGCTCACGCTGGACCTGTGTGACCAACCGTGATTTGTTTTTGTTGTTTTGTTTTCCTCCTGATGTATTATTTTTGTATAAAATTGAAATCAACCGTAAATCATTATTTATACTTTCTGAGAATATATTGGTATTTCAAGTAAAATGTTTACTTTTCTTTTTTTTCTCCACGCTCGTGTTTCTTAGTCTACGTTCCTGGTCATGTTCTGCGGCGTTTTGAGCAGGTCCTGTGGCGGAACAACAAATCTTTTTTTAGGCTTACAGATAAACTCAAAGTTTAGTCAAATGTAAATGTTCGTTCTCACCAGCAGAGACAAACGTTAGTTCTCGGCGTTTGTGTTTACAGCCTCAACAAATGTAGCAGCGTTTCTGTGTGATACAGTTCTTGGTTTTGACCGATCTAAAGTGCACGTTTTGTTTCAAGCCGGGAGTCCGTTGGCTCAGTTCACCTCTGTCTACGTCTGGATCCGAGTTTGTCATGAAACTTGTTTTTTTTTTGTTTTAAATCAAGTTAAGAGTTATTTAATTCATGGCACCGATGGATTTCTTCGTACTCGAACCCTTTGAATGGACGGACAGTTCTGTGTGCCACTGAGGCCCAGGTTTTTGGTGAAAAGGTTCGGTTGTGTTTCGGCTGCTCGTCTACACGACAACAGCGATCGTTTTCCGACTACGAAGATTTTTTTAGTCCAGGTCTCAAAAGAGTGGAAAGTTTTTCAAAGCTTTCTGGAATTATCAGTCGATAGTTTTTCTGCATGCTCACTCTTTTTATTAGTGTGAATGTTTATGAAGCATTCACTCTGTTGTGATCCATTTTTCTTCTGTACGTTTTTCAGCATCCGACTCGTTCCACAACTTTTCTGCTATTCCAACAAATCATAAATCAAAACGTTCAGCTTTTTCAGGACAATCCTGCTATGACTTTTGGTATTGGTGCAATTTTAGCAAGATATTCATCATTTTCTATCATTTTATTCTCATAGAAAATGAATTGAGCTCATTTTACATCCTTCAAATCTTTAGATCTGTTTACAGCCTTTTACTGTTCCTTTCACATTTTGTTCTGCTTCAGCTTCTTTCCTTGTGTAAATTGAAACTTTTTCAGCTATTTTCAGCTAAAATTTCAGCTGTTTTTCATCTGTTTTGTGCTCCTTTCAGATTATTTCTGCTAACAAGAAAATGTTGTGCTTCTTCTAACTTCTTTCTGCTAATTTCAGCTTGCCATGCTCCTGTCAGCTTATTTCTGGTAGTTTCAGCTTTTAGACAAATTTTGTGCTCTGCCACGACCAAGACACCACAACCATGGGAATTGAACTTGCAACTTTCAGGTTTTAAGTCACTTGCCCTTCCCCCTACATTTTGCTCTGATGACCAAAAAGTCACCAGCGCTGCTAAAGAAGGACCGAAGTAGGGACGGAGGATGATTTTTAATTGTTCAAACTCCAGTTAAAAATGGTGAATTTGAAGAATTAACATCTCTGTGACCATCATTTATTCATTTTCTAGATTTTTTTACATGCCAAATTGTTTACTACGGTGGAGTATTGGGGCAACGCTAAGAAAAAATATACGAGAAAAATGTCTTAATACGAGAATAAAGTAAAAATATTAAGATAATAAAGTCACAGTATTACGAGAATAAAAATACTACAACTTTTTTCTCATAATATTATGACTTTATTCTTGTAATATTAA